CCCTCCCTCCCCCCTCCCCCCGGAAAAAAAACCTGTTTATTACACTTCAAACAAAAATTCAAATTTCTTTTTATTGAAATTATCCATCTTGACCAGTACTGCTACTTTCTTTACGAATTGTTGGGAATAATCATAGAAGAATTGCTACAGTCGTCAGAAATGAACTCACAAGTTTTTCTGGTTGGCTACCTTCTAGAATCTATCGTCAAAGGGGGGTCAAAAGGTTGAACTTTAATGGAGGTACTATACTAGCCTTAAAAGATGAAAAGCCAAGAACCATCCTGTCGAAATAGCTCTCTACAGATTTGAATTCACGAAACAGAGTTTGCTCTAAAGTGAAAGAACTAGTAATTTTTGAATGAAAAATTCGTCCTTCTAAGGTTTGTCTAAGCCACATTGAAAGGGCAGAAAGCACTGTAAAATATCTTGCACGGAGCCAATCGCAGCTGAAAAACTACAAAAACGTTTATATTGATGCCTCATTATACTCTAACTTGACCATCATATGTATTCATGAAGACATCTTCTTGCGATATACTGATTCTGGATCGCAGCGGATGTAATCGAAAGTAACGTCTAAGTTCCCATTTTTTACGATGTTCAAAACCTGAAGTTTGGTGTTACAATTTAGCTGCTTCGCCCCTTTTCCAACAGCCTTCAGCGCAACTTTTCAAATTTCTAATCGAGACTCTTAATTGCGCACTATAACTTTCTGCGGTAAAACCCTTATCAATATTCAGAAAGCTCAGACTACCCTACAGATGTTCCGTCAAACTCTGGTTACTTGGTCAATGTCATTGTTTCGGTAGAAGACTGAGTGAAATTTACTCCCTCTTTTTTTGGTTATCATGTAGCATCCATCTTTTATCACAAGTAAAAACAGATCAGCCTTGACCTATGGAGAAGGCTTGCGTAAAATTGCAAGGCCTTATCCGCCGCCGCAGGTTGGGCTCATAGAGTATCAACTTTTTCAGCCTCTTCTTTTTGACTCATTTAGGCGCCTATTCATAGTTTGAAACTTTTAAACGAAATTCCTGAGGTGCCACGGTATGCATTATCGCTTCTAAATTAGCTTCGACATATTTTCTCAAACTGCGATTCTTAAAGCAAGACGGCCCGCTAAGAAGACGTTTAATTCTCACGGACTCATCCTGATTTGCCTATCACGCATATATTCGACAAAAACAAACTGGGAGAAAAACTACATTTTTTGTATCTTGAATAAACAATGTTGAAAAATAAATCAAACTTTGAAAACTGAATAAATTTATAGCTAGAAAGAAGGCCAGTCAGTTGTTTTTTCAATAGTGTACCAGAATAAGCGTTTTATAAGCATTTCTGCCCAGCGAAGAATGTCCAAAAAACAAAACTTGTAGATCAGTATTTATTTGCATAGAGGTCTACTGCAATCACGTTGTTTCATTATTCTTGCTCACTCCTCAATTAAGCAGCTACAAAGCATTTCTGGCTAACGTTGTGTAGGCACGGTAACTACACGTTGTTGTTTGAAAAAGCGACTAAGAGTTTTTGAAGTCTCTTTCATCTGAGAACCTGTTTTAACAAAGAATAGTTCAATTATCAGGTGTTGACAGAATTTTTTAGAGACTCGTCATTTTTGCAATATAACAAAGATCATAACTAATATTTTGCAAGTGAGAATTTATATTAAAAAACAATTTCAAAAAGTTTAAAAGGAGAAGACAATTTACTTAATTGTTTAGGCTATCGATGTAGAGAGGAATCCAAATTTTGACTGTTCGACGCTCAGTAATTACAAGACTGTTACGGTTGGTGCGTTAAGTATGACAAAAGAGTGAAATTCTCTTATTTCATGCTATTCTAACACAAATTTTTCCCACACAGAGTTCTTCAACAAATTCGAGTTCTTATCTTTGCTACAGTGATAGGCGTTAATTTCTCCGTTAAAAGTGGAATGAGAACAAAATGGTTTTAGATTTATACTGACTGTACGGGAAAAAATGTTCCAAAAATAATTCGAGGACATCGACTTCCTGATCTTACTGTAACGACCGATGTAAGTCCCGTTAAAACCTTTCTTGTTACTGCTAAACCGTGGCAGAAAGTAGGCAGTTTCATGCGATGTAAAATAGTGTTTCATTACCCAATGAGAGTGAGTTGGATACATTTTCTGATGGATAAAAACCCGAAAAATTTAATCTTAAGTGTGATTACGTCAGCTGTTCAAAGGCAGTCGATAACTCAAGTACGCTGAACAAGTTGCAGCTTTAAGTACTGTGGATTAGAAAAGTCATAGTACTTTTCACTTATCACAATACTAGGTAAAGGTTAAGGGCAACTAACAACTGGACCCACAAAATACACCCGCCAACGAAGCACTGTCTTGCAATTACACTATCGGCCTACTTCGCTCAACACGTGGTTTTGTGACACCTGCTGTGTGTACTTCTGGTGTCTTCAGCGCCATTCTTTGAAGGGGAATTGATAGAATAGTTGTATGTCATTAGGCACCATTTTTAACAGGCAAGACAGACAAAGTTTGAGGACTTTACAAAATTCACGTCGCTTCATAGCGAGTTTCCATAAACAGAAACGATGAAGATGAAAGTGAGCGCCATTTGTCCAATCAAGCTTTGATATTATTAGTTCATACTGCAGCAGCTGAAGACATTCTCTACAAAACGTAATGCTTAATGGTGCCCCAACAAGACTGGCTCAAGTTTAGTGGCAACAATTCAATTCAGGAAATACTTATACTAAAACAAAACTAATACTGGTAAACCCTAATAGATCCTGAGCTAATTTCGCAAATGCGTGCATTAAATGGGGCAGAAATGAGGATCAAAATACCAGTCAAGATGATCAGTTTCATGCCAGAAACGACCCAGGCTGGTTCTGATCGATTATGCATTGTAAGAAAACCTGAGAAGTAAGACGCGTACAATACTTTGAAACAAATTTGCAACAGCTTCGAACATTGGCAGGCACTCATTTCTGCTTTCCTTTGGAATCGTAGTAGAAAAATTTGTCATATTCTTTCATTGAGCGGCGACCGTAAGTTGCCCAATAACATTCACGGATAACTTAACAGATTTTGGAAAGATATTAAGCCTATAGTTGTTGTTAGAGGAAATTCAGTAGTGTTGCGAGAAGTCTACTTACCATTGGAAAGACAGAAAAGACAAGAGACCGGAGCTTTTTAAGATCCTTTTTAATCGCTTGACATTCTCCTCCCTGATTACCGCTTGTTTCGTTCACTGGATTAACGGATGAAATAATATCACGATTGAATTTTTCTAAGTGAAGGTATTTTATAAAAACTTTAAATGAATTTATTTCAAGTAATTAACAGACTAACGACTTTATTAACCGATGGGTTAAAACAATTTTTTGGTCTGACAGCGTGACCGACCAGTGGGTTACGTTGGAAACACTAAAAACTTTTTGGTCCCACCCAGTAGAATGAGCTATCTTTTGACGTATTCAATTAGCCATATTAAGCGACGTTGCGCAATTAATGGATATTAGCTAAATTCTGTATAAATAAAGTGAAATATCGCGTGAATACCATTATCTCATTGAAACGACATGTTATTGAAATTTTTAGCTCATCTGTCCCGCTCTTTCTGCTAGCATTTTCACTCATGCTAAAGCAATTTAAAATGTCAATTAAAAACTATACTTCCTAATAGTTGTTAACAAAATTGTAGCTTTTCTAAACAAATAATTCCGAAGATTCACAAATTACTGACTGTAATTATCGAGCAAATTATTTTTAAAGCCAACACTGAAGAAATTTATATGAGCCATTCAGTCGTAAATAATTTATTGGATTTCTTTATGTTCCTAAAAGCTTTTCCTCTGCTGTCAAACTGCTTCCCACCTAAACTTCCTGCTTCGTTGTGCAATTAAAGAATATATAACCAATTCAGATGCTTGAATCAGGTACCCCTGAATCCTTAAATTTGTAGTTTCAGTAGAAGATTATACCGTCGTCATCCTCCGCATATAAAGCCGTTTTCGGGAGTGATGACCTCCGCATCTCTTCCCTCCCCTGCCTAAAGCTTTCCCAAAATTGTTTACAGAATAAGGCAGTAAATGACTATCCGATAACTGCTATTAAGCTCCCCAGTGGCTAAAAATCCCAAACATTGCTTTGATGAAAGAAAACTGGAACAATTATATTTCCAACGCAATACACATTGAATGAAAGCTCTCTTTGTCAAGTAATTCGCCTATAATTTTGGTCAAGAATTGCTTTGTTTTTTAAAATATTTTTTTTCCATCCTTCACCAATTAACCTCCAAGTGAGCGTACTCTCTTCCCAGTTCCAGTTATCAAACAATTTCGATAAAAAAAACCACTGGAAAGTTTTGGCCGTAAACAACTAAATCTGGAAATAATGGTCTTTCAATTTCCAGCCTGTCGCTGAAGATTCCGCCAAAATGGAATGCCTGTCTGCTGGAACAAATTTAGCTTTTGTAAAGCAAAGTTTCATACGGGTTTGATCTTGGATCAATTTCCGTTCATCCAGGAAACCAATAACGGAAAAGACAGTGTAGTCGTTAAAATGCCTTAAGAATGAGCGTTCGACCTAAACCAGAAAGATTTTTTTTTTTTGGCGAGATATTCAGCGATAAGCTGGGAATGAAAAAGTCTATATAATGAAGACATCTCGATTAGAGGACCGTCGTTAAGCACTCCAACAAACGGTCAAAACACTTTTTACGTTTATATTACAATTAAACTGAGCCGTGAACCCCAATTGGTCATTTTTGAGGGCTGGGAAGAGGCCAGTTGAGAATAATTGCTTTCAATTTATTCAAGCGTTGTTTTATCGTATATTCTTGCAAAAACTATTTTTTCAAATCAGCACCAGTTAAATCAATTACTGCTTCAAACGGTACTTTGAAATGTTGCTACAGACAACAGCCTTTCCACACCTTCATCTCTTCATCTCTTTGTTTCCCCTCTTCCAATTGAAATGAACTTAGAAACAACTTTTTAACAGTTTATTTCCTCTCAGCCAGCAAAATAAAACCTTCAAGAAACAAAAACAGCTTCGTCAGCAGAAAGCATAAAAGACTCAGATCAAGCATTTTTTAAATCTGTCATTCAAATACCATGACGTGCATCCCTCAAGTAACAATGCTATACTTGAATTTTGAGTAGCTACCATTTCCAGAATAATAATAAGCAAAAACTCATTAATGCAAGCGAAGTTGCCACGCTCAGTGAGATAAATGAATTTCAGGACTGTAACTTTTCGTGTTTCGCGAAGAAACACTACGAGAAACTTCATACTTATGTTCTAGAGCTTTGGAAGGTAAGTCACCATGACCGATTCCTGTACTGTGCTTATTCCATAACAAGCAAACATTCATTTCCATTAAACAAGCGGAAGCGACTGACGCCGTAATTTGTTTCCCAATAAAATTAATTGGCGAAAACTTAAATAATCCAGAAACTACAAAATTCCAAATGAAAACCATAATCTCATTTATGCGGAACTGATATCAAATAATGCTTTTAGAAACTGAGAAGAAAATATGAAGAGTTTGACAAAGAAAAATTTCTGAAGGATGCAGAAGAATTCATCAAATACCTGATGCAGAAACTAAGAGAACTTCGCCCGTAATGAAATTCCTCTCTGGTCGACGACAAAAGACTAGCTAAATCATAAAAAACGTACAACGCATAATTATGTATTCTAAATAAAAACAAAACGAATATATAAGAGATC